CCAGGTCACAGCTCAGCCCTTTCCTCCTTATCTGGGCCCGCTCAGCCCTGGCTCCCCCGCAGCTTCGTCCTGCACCCCAGTTCCTTGCTCTCTACCACGCTGCCCCCCTCAGTCTCTCCTGCCACAAGGTCTCCACCTGCTGCTCCCTCTGCCCAGTACAAATGATCATGGTAAGAAATCACAGTAGCTGGGGCACCTGGGTGGCTCAGTGGTTGAGGGCCAGCCTTCGGCTCAGGGTGGGATCCCGGGGTCCTGGGATCGAGTCCCACATCGGGCTCCCTGGGGGGAGCCTGCTTCTCCCTCTGCCTATGTTTCTGCCCCTTTCTGTATCTCTCATGAATAAATAAATAAAATCTTAAAAAAAAAAGTCACGTTCGCTAAATTGAGGAGTAACAAACAGGTCTCTCACATTTGCAGAAAAAAGCAAAATAATGGGATGCCTGGGTGGCTCAGGGGTTTAGCGCTTGCCTCCAGCCCAAGGTGTGATCCTGGAGTCCCAGGATGGAGTCCCACACTCTCATGAATAAACAAACAAAATCTTAAAAAAAAAAAAAAAAAAGGAATCACAGTAGCTGATATCTAGGGTTTATTGTGTCCTAGGTACCATCTAGAAGGTTAGGAATGTCAGCTCATTTAGACCCCACACCTTCCCAGCGGCTGTAAGGACGACACACTAGGGGGTCTACAGGACCTGGGCTTCGGCAGGACCTCCTGGCTCTAAAATCAGTCCGCGTAAGTCCGATCTGAGAGGCGTGTCTTTGAGCGCAGGTCCCTCCTCAGACCCGGCCGTGGCACGCTAGGAGTCCTGACGCCAGGCGCTTCAGGTCCCGTCTCCGGCGAGCCCTGGCTGGGCTCCCACGCCCCTCTGGGCCCCCAGGCCTCCCAAGTGTGCCTCCCCGACAAAGGGGCGCCGGACAAGGCCGGGGAGACGGACAAGGTCAGGGCTCCAGCAAACGCAGCAGTTTGTGGACAGGTGGCCTGCGATCATTCCTAGGGCTCCCACGTCGTCCTCCGAGGTCTGTCTTCGCTGCTGCCACCGCCAGCAGCTCAGAGGCACTTGGGGACGCCACCTGCCGAGCCCGGGCCCTCCAGCGCCCGAGGTTTTGAAGCAGAAAATTGGTTCGCCTCCTGCGTACCTCGGTCCCCTCTGTACCCCGGCCTGTGTCTCCCCGGCGTGCTCTGCTTGCACTCTGCTGGCGAGCGTGCCCCCGCCCACTGCCCGTGTGTCCGCTTCTCTGGCCCCCGGCCCCAGCAGGAGGATGACCGAGGAGGGGTCTCCCACCCAGGATGCTCGGCCCCCTAGTTCATCCCTCTGCCTCCGGGCGCGACTAGCAAGGCCCACACTTAGCCAGATGGCTGCCCAATCTCCTCCAGACCTCAGGGGAAGGAGGCTCCCCCATCTCCATGGGCAACCCTGGATCTCTGACAGCAAGTTCTTTCACTTTTCAGGCTTGGTCTCGGGTGATGACATGCCCTGCAGGGCAGCAGCTGTGACTAATCCTGTGTGTGAGACCCTGCCTTGCGCCTCGCCGAGGCCTACGATGCAGGGCTGCCGGCAGGGGAGGCGCTCGGGGAGGGTGCGGGGAGCTCCCATCTGTGAGGCCCTCCCAGGGCGGCCAGGCGCAGATCCTGGGACTGGAGAGGCAGGTGGGGCAGGGATGGCCCCGGGGGAGGTGGCCCGAGCAGCCAAGGCCCACCGGGGCAGCCTTGAGAGCTTTAGGAGCGGGGCTGAGCAGCCAGGCACGGTGCAGGGCCAGGGCTTTGAGGTCAGAAGTCTGGTTCAAATCCCTGCCCTGCCACCCAGCAGCTGGCCTCGTGCCCTTGTTTGTAGGATGGAGGTAATTCTAGCACCTACCTTGCTGATCTGTGGGGCACGGAAGAAACACAAGTAGACAGAAAAGCCCTTTCGAAGGAAGAGCTGGCTACCCCCGTCGTTCCCATCTTACAGGTGAGGAGCCTGGAGCGTGGAGGGGCCTGCGTGGGAGGCTGGACCAGACCCCTGGCTCTCTCCCCTGGGCCCCTGGCTCGCTGGCGCAGCACACACAGGCATGTCAGAGCGCCACCCTGTCCCTGGCCAAGCTGCCCCCTGCCCACCCTGGGCTCCCACTATTTCTGTAGCTCCCCTCTCGAACCCAGAGCAGGGGGCTCTGGGAGGAAGGGCCCCTCCCGGGGACGTGGTGGAGCAGAGCAGGCCTCCATGAGCTTCACACGGGACGTGATGGCAGGCCCACCCCTGATCGGCACGGATGGGGTTGCACGGCCCCCAGTGGGAAGGGAGGAGGCTCGTTCCTCCAAAGCAGAAATCTGTGAGTACAGACTCGAGCGGCACCATCAACGCCACCAAAGGGCTCCTTAGCCCACGTCCAAGAGGTCATCCAATCCCCACAGACCCAGAAATCCCCAAGCCAAACAACCCCTGAGCAGCGGCCACATTCCGCCATCACACGGGGAATCAGAAGGCCCCGCCTGGTCCGGGCTGGTGGCCTCGGCCCCCACGCTCCTGACACAGGGGACGGAGGAACTGCAAGAGTCAATGAAGTGGGGTGACGGAAGGAGAGACAGACAGACAGACAGACAGACAGCCATCCCGCCATCCCCAGACTCCCTAAAGCCAAGCTCTGTCTCCCCGGAGCTCTGGCAAGCTCCAGCTACTTATGTGCACGGAGAGGAGGTTTTCCCCAGGGCTCTGGCGAGGACACCCGAGTGGCGGTGCCCGGAGGAGACACGTGGCTCAGCCTGCTGTGGAACGTGAGCCCGGTGGCCCCCAGGAAGGCCGGCCAGGCTCCCCGGGGCCTGCCCCATCAGACGGGGCCCAGGCGCGGTGGGAGCCCCTTCAGCAGCCGGGGGCCAGGCCACCACACAGCTGTCAGGCTGTCTGCCAGTGGGTATTTTTAGGGTGTCCTCCTTTTTGTGCCCAAATCCAAAATGTCTGGATACGTTTTTTTCCTGACGGTGGTTCCAATTCCTCATGTATCTAATACTCATTTGAAATGATTCATGGAAAAATGCCTTCGCTACCAATTTCTTTGCGCCACAGACAGCGTGGTTTTTAAATAATGGGAGATCTACGCACACACACGCGCGTGCACGCTGCCGCCCAAGCCCGGCTGCTAGGATCACGCCCAGATAACCACCGCGGTCACGCGGGAGCCGGGGCTGTGAGTTCTCCCGGGAGGAAAGCCACGGGGCAGCCGCAGGCCCCCGAGGGGCCCCTCCCTGCCTGCCACGGCCGCGGGCCCCCAGGCGGCTCCCCGTCCTCCCCCAGCCCCCTTCCCTTGGGTGAGCGCCCTGGGGACCTCCAAACAGCACGTGAGCCCCCGCCCTCCGCCCCACCTCAGCGCGGTGTCCCGGCCCTTCTCCTTCCCGGCCAGCTCTGGAAACCACCACGACTTCCCCACCAAGCAGAGCCGCTGCGTCTTGGGGCCCGCGCGCTGGTTCCACCCTCGGGCCGGGCGCTTCCTTCAGGAAGCCGCAGCTCCGCCCGCGGCCTTCTTGCTGTGTCGGGCCCACGGTGACCTACCTGGGCCTCCGTTCACTGTCCGTCCCCGAGACGACCACGCTCTAATGACACCGGCCACAGTAACGGCTGTGGTGGCCTTCCCTGGGAGTCCGCCACGCGGGTCACCGGGCCGCCGCTGCTCCATGCAGGACAGGGCGGCACAGCAGTGGTTGTGGGCACAGCCTCCGTGGCCTCGGCAAGTTATCAAATCCCTCCATGCCTCTACTTCCCCAGCCGTGCAATGGGGCTGTGAAATGCACCCATTTCCCGCGTGCACGCGAACGAGCGCACGGCACAGGGCATAGCCGGGGCTCAGTAAATGCCCGCTCATCATCGCTCATCCTTACGACTGCTGCAGTCCACCCCGTTTGCGGCAGAGGAGGCCGAAGCCTCGCACAAAGCTCTCCCCGAGCACCGTTTGTACCCAGGCCGCTTGACCCCCGGGCCCGCGGGCTCTCCCAGAGTCACGATGGCTGTTTTGAACGAACCAGGGCACCCCGCATTTGTTGACCGTGACCGCGGGGGCAGCAGAGAGGTGGGCCTCGCTGTGGAGCAGGTGTGAGGACCACAAAGCTGATGACACCCCACGCCTCTCGAAGGCAACCGGCGGCTGGGGTGGGGGCCCTTCCAGGCTGTGGGCCATCCCTTCCACCAGGCGGCAGGCCCCCCCCCCCCACCTCCTGGGCTCTCTCTCTCTCTTTCTAAACCAACGGCAAGTCTCCTGATTCCCGGCACCTGTGAGCACACAATTCTTGAGCCCATGGATAGACCCCGACCACCAGGCGAGGCCCGTGCCAGCGTGTATGAGGTTCTGGGCAAATCATAAAAAAAGAGCATCCTCTCTAGGGAGAAAAATTTAAAAGGCAGCCCTCTGAGTAAGACCAACTAGAAAAGGCACGTTCAGGCCGACCTGACGCTGCATGTATCTCCCACTCGTGCCCCTCCCTGGGCCCCCTTGTGCAGTGCAAAACCTTCACATCTGTTTTTAGTGGCCCTGCTCCCTGCTGGGGAAGGGTTGAGACCCGGATCCTGCGGCTCTTTAGCCACTAACCTGCCAGGGCCATGACATCCTCGCCTGTAACATGAGTGGACGGGGCAAAGCATGCCTCAGCCCCTCCCACAGTGGGAACGGTGGCATCATTGTGATCACAAGAGGTGCCGCTACCATCGACAGGGGGCCGGTTACCACCTGGACGCTGCCCTAAGTGCCTTTGCTCAGAGCCCTCACCCACTCAGTTCTCACTACCGCCTTTCCATGCAGGTGTGAATACCTGTTTTTTATAAAAGGAGCAACTGAATTTGAGAGGGCCCAGGAGGGGAGCCCAGAGCTGGGACACCCGACACAGAAGCCAAAATCCATTCTGAGCCTCGACGACCCCGGGCCACCTCCACCCGGGGTGAAAGCCGCCGCTGCATGCCAGGCCAGGGCCCTGTCCTCACCTTGCTGGGCAGCGAGCACACTGGGAGGCGCGCACGTGGGGCTGGGGGCGGGGACCCCTACCGTTCGTTGTTGAGGGCCATCCTCGGGGGGTCCAGGTTGGGGTTCTCCATGGACTCCATCTGTGGACACCGCAGGAAGTAGTAAAGCGTGTGGAGGGCGTCGGGGGACCAGGTGATGGGCTGGGGCGGCTGGCGGGCCTGGCGGGCGGGGCTGGAGCCGGGACACAGCGGGTGGCGCCCCTGCATGTGGTGCATGGCGCGGGAGACCAGGTCACCTGGTGGGGAGGGTGGGAGGGAAAAGACCAAGTGAGTCCCCCACGCTCACCTGTCCACGGCTACTGCTCGTGGCTCACGGCGCCCCTCACCCTGGTGCATAATCACCGTTTCCCGGAGCCAACAGGCGGGGGCGGACACTGTCACCTAGACACACAGTAGCGATTTCGTTTCCTTTCACTGCCAGTCTCGCCTGAACAGTTGAGCTGAAGCCTCAGCAGGGCCGGTCTCCTCCAGAATTTAGGCTAATGTGGTTTCTCTTTCGACATCCCCACGCCCTCCACCCACCTGTGGGCCTTTCCCCAGCTCCCTGACCAAGGGAGGCCCAACCTCTGACACCCAGTGCCAGGCGGCACGGTGACCCTCCCCCGAGCCACCCTGTGCAAAGCCCAGGTGCTTGGGCGGGGAAGGTCCCTTCATGTCTAACACATCGGGTCACACGACCACCGCCACCAGCCCCGAGTGCTCAACTGCGTGCCCAGAGTTCAGTTTCCCAGAAACAGGACTTCATTTGATCCTTTTAATGCTGAGGCCAAGTAGTATCCCCACTTTACAGGTGAAGAAAGTGAGGCCTAGCTGGTAAACAAACACCTACCCCCTACGCTCCACTGGTCACAGGGTGGCTGCGGTGCCCCGAGCTTAACCAGCCAAGGTCCTGTGGCTAGTAAATGGTAGAGTCTAGACTCAAATGCAGGTCTCTCTGACTCCAAAGTCCATGAACTGTGACCCAGGCCTGACCCACTGACGTCTGTGGGGTCCCTGGGTCCCCATATCCTGTGCTGTGTTTCTGCCCAAGTCAAGTTTTCAGTCTCCCACCTGCCCGGGGCAGGAAATGTCCCATCATTGTGTGAGACCACAATGCTGAGACAGGATGGGCCAAACAGCCCCAGACACCTGCGGGCCCCTCTGTTCTGGAAAAGTGGCTACCCTTCCATTCTCTCCAGGCCTGAGAACTGGGGCCTTGCCTGTGGGCCAAGCTTCCCCTCACCCGGGCAGTTCCTTAGGGACAGCCCCTTCCAGAGAAGGCCTCTGGACAAGGCTGGCCACGAAGCAAGAGAGGCCCGTAGGCTGGAGTCCGGTGAAGGGCATGCGACGTGTCACAGAACCAGCTCACGTAGTCAACTGGCCTCCACTGTACAGCCTCTGTGAGTCTGGTACTCTGCTGCCCTGTGTCCCAGCTTCCCACACGGGGTCCTCTGCAGGGGGGTGCCCAGCAAACATCTACAGGCTGCAGAAGTAGCCTTCCACGTTCACCTCATTTTAAAATACAGCTTCCAGTGGGGCCTGACTTGAGCCCATCAGCGGCCGAGGTCTCCTAGGCCAGCCTCCGCAAGGGCGTCTGGCTTCCGAGCAGGGAAAATGACAGCCCCGGAACTGGAGATCTCCGCTAGGCTCTCCATGCCTCCCCCACCTTCCTTGCTCCACACCTGACTCTGCTCGTCCCTGCGACTGTAGCTGAGCTGCCTGGACACCTCCGGGAGTGGCTGCCAATGCCTTAGGGACACCTGGCTCCCATCCCCAGGGCTCGGATTTAATTGGTCTGGGCAGGACCTAGGCATCCTATTTTGTACAAGTTCTGTTGGTGAATCTCGTGTCCAGTGAGGTTAGAGAGTCACCCGGTTAACGGATGAGAGCACAGGTTCCACAGCCAGACACGCCTGGCTTCCGATCGGGGCTCTGTTTCCTACCAAGCACCTTATAGAGGTTTCTCATCAGAGCCTCCATTTCCTCATCTGTAAAATGGAATAATTGTATCTAACCTCAAAATCATGAGGATTCAAATAAATAATAAGTATAAAGCCCTTAGCATCATGCTTGGCACAGAGTAGTTGGAAAAGTGAAATACAAGACCACTGCTATTACTGTCCTATTGCCATTATTCCTCTATCCTACGGACCACCTCCCGTGGTGCTCTTCCTCCCAGGAATTTTTCCCATGCAGTCAGGGCTTGCCCCACATTTCCCAGGACACGAGGAGTCTGGGCCCTGAAATGCTAGGTCCCAGCCCTGCCCTCGGGTTCCTGGGTGGCAGAAACTGGCATGGGTAACATCCCAGGCCAGGCCGCCTCGCAGCAGCAGAGCTGGCTGCAATAAACTGAAACCTGGCTTCTATTTCTCCAGGTCAAAATGTCATAACTTTTGGCAGGATCACAGGACCACAAGGAGGAGAAATCAGAGAGGTTCCCGATAGCATCAAAGAGAGACCTTGTAGAAATACTTCAAAGGCTTGACAAGGTAAAAGCCATTATCGTTAATTAGGTTTATGATGGTTTTATTGTTATTGGTGTAGAACCCTTTTGGCAGCACTTTTCCAGCCAGGATGCAGGCAAGAAAATCAAGGAAGAAATGGAAGAAGCGGCCCTTAAGCCTTCCCTTAAGGGAAGCCAGGCACAAAGAGGGGCCTTCCAAAGATTTGGGGGGAGGTGGGGTCACCGCCGAGGGGCAGCTGGAGATGCAGGTCTGCAGCCTCCGAGGTCCAGGCCCAGCTGTGTGCCAGCCTCTCCGAGCCCAAGCAGCAGAGGCCTGCAGACAGCTCCGACCAGGCGTCTAGAACCCTCACTGCTCTGCTGCCAGAGCAGGCTGTTCACTTTGGGTTCTCTCCCCAGGGCGATCTCCCTCCCTGCCACCTTCTATGGTCTAGGCTTGAGACTCCTCTGATCCTCACAAGATGGGATGTCGTGAAGGAGGTATTTCCACTTTACAGGCGAGGAAACAGGCTCGCAGAAGTTAAACGGTTTGTCCTGGTTGTACCAGTGTGAGTGAACAGCCAGGACTCGACCTGGGGACCCTGCACCGCAAACGCATGCTCTTGGCCAGGGTTCTGTGAGAGTGCGGTCTGTGCCCCGGGACCGGTCTGCAGTCTGGGTTGTTACCGTTCATTATTGGGTCACAACAGGCTAATTTTAGAAATGGAGACTCAGCTTTAAAAAGTCCCCCAGCAATCTGACAAAATGATTTTATGTCTAACGATTCTTTAAAAAAAAAAATTGGCTTGCATTTTACTATCTTTGATTTCGCTTTTCTAGACGTTCTACAAATTTCTATCCTGTTTTACCAAGTCTGCAATGGAGTGGGGCACAGAATCCGCCCCCACGCCCCCCACCAGAGCTGTTTTGAGAAGTCATGGTCCAGACTGGTCTGCTCTCTTGGTTTCTTGCAGGTGGGCGCTCAGAGCCGCTCCAGAAGGGTCCTTGTACTCGAGAATTAGCTGATCCTAAGCTCCAGGACACCTTAGTCTGAAGTCCAGAAATGCCCATAAGGCATGGAAAAGCAAGCCTGCACTGCTTGCTAATCATGAGAGCCTCGGTTAGAGGTGCTACGGGCTTGTCTGTCCCAGCCTCGTTATGAGCCACCAAATAAAAAGAGCAGGCAGAGTCAGCAATGTACCTCTGTCTTCAAAATGAGGCCCACATCATCTGACTACCTTTAAAAAGAAATGCTTAGTTTTATTTATCTTCTCCTCTTTCCCATTTACCTTTACACAAGAGGGAGGGACAGAGAAAAATACAAGTGCCCAAGTTCCCTCTGAAGCTGGACCTGATACAAGAAGGAAACTTCTAGACCTACCTGGCAGGCTGGTCCTGGCCAGGTGCAGGGAGTTAATGCATGTTAGAGCCAGGGTAAACTTTTAGGTACAGGGAGCTCGGTGCCAAGTATCACTAGCCTCATTAGGTTCTTCAGTCTCAGGGAGGAAAATCTGCATTATCTGCCTCCACCTTCGTCTCCTCCCTCCTTCGCAGTGGGTTAGCAGAAACCCCAGTTTCAGGGTGAGGGAGGTGGGGCAACGTGGCACACGATACAGCCCGTTCTGGCGTCTGTGAAGAGGTGCTAGGGGGATGCTTCTTCCCTCTGCCCCGAGCAGCAGCTGAAACAGGATGTGAACGCACCCTAGGTGGGATTTAGGAGGCAAACAATGGACAGTACAGAACTCACTGCTTTACACGCACATTTACACACACACATAGCATCAGGTGCTATTCCAATAGCGGGGATACTGAACAGCAGCAAACAAAGCACAGGAAGTCTGTTCTCATGAAGGTGACATTCTAGTCAGGGGAAAGAGATGACAAAGTATTTACGAGTAAATATATGACATAGTTTAAGTGGTGAGCAGTGCTCAAACTACAGTTGTATGGGGGGAGGTGGAGGAATGAGAATGGGGTGCTCATCTATATAGGGGTGCTCACGGAAGGCCTGTCCAGAAAGGTATCATTGGGGCAGAGATGAAGAAAATGAGAGACCAACATATTTGGGTATCTGGGGGAACCGGTCTCAGGCAGAGAGAACAGCTAGTGCAAAGGCCCTGGGGTGGGAGGATCTTGGCCAGGAGGCCAGCGTGGCTGGAGCACAGTCAACAAGACAAGAGCAGTAGGCGGTGAGGCCAGATCATATATCGGATTCTGAGCTACGGTGAGGATTTTGGATTTCAAGCCACGGGAGGATGGAGGGGATATTGAGCAGATGAGTGACACAATCCGCTTTGTGTTTGACATGGCCCCAGTTTGGACTGAGTTGATAGGAGTGGAGGTGGCCAAAGGGCCAAACTAGAACTTGGGATATTTTTAGAAGGTAGAAGCATTAGGGGCTGAATGATAAGGGCAGAATGACGACAAGCCCTCCCCGGAGGACATCCCTGAATAGTCCTCCCTTTGCCTGGCTGTGGTTTTAACGGGCACAAAGGCCGCCCTGGTAAAAGGCGAAGGATCAGACTCTAATCCTGATGTCAGCCGCCTGGGATGCTGGTGGGCGGGCTGCTGGCTGCATCTAGGGAGCCCACAGCCCCAGCAATTAAGCCAGACCTCCTTGAGCCCACCTCTTACAGGGTCCCGGGGGGCCCCACACCGGCCCAGACTACAGTGATGCCGTCCAGGAGACACAGAGCCTTCTCCCCCAGCCCTCTAATGAATCTGCTCTGGGACCTTGAACCAGGCGCCTTCTCTCCCGCTCTGGGAAGGGGCAGGAAGGGTGGAGGGCGGAGGCTGTGTCCTGAAGAAGCAAAAGGATTGCCGTTCACTGTTCACCGTTCAGACAGCTCAGAGCAGTCACGGGTGGGAGGGGCTGGAGCACAGTGAACTGCACCTGTTTCCACAGCATGCACTTCGACCCCTGTGCGTGTCCCCGCCCGCCGCTGGGCGGTCTCGTGGTGCCGCCAGGGAGAGCTAGGGAGGAAGAGCATGCAGCCTGATTTCTTAAATATTGGAATGAGAGAGGGAGAGATAACAGGAGGCGCATGGGATTTCTTGCCTAACACACTCTTTGGAAGCAGCTGCCAAACAGGACCTAGACTAAGGGGTTTCCCAGTGTGTTCCACAGAGCCCTGAGGTTCCAGAAGCCCAGGGCCACTGCAGGGCTGAGGCCACCCCACCACAGCCAACCTCAGCCAGGGGAGCTCTGCTTTTATCTTCCATTTTCTACACTGGGATTTCAGGGGACGCTTTCTTTTAAGAAAGAATAACAGGTGTAAGTCCAGAGCATCGTGGGCCAGGTGGGGAAAACAGATGAATGGATCGGGCCAGCTATAAACTACGGAGGTCTGTGACCTCGTAGGGAACACATGCTGCCCACGGAGCTGCTCAGCTCCCCCTGACTGCTGCCCTGCAGGAACGGGGTGCAGAGTCACTAGGTCATCTGATTTTTCAGGAGAAACCGGTGATCCAGATTTGCATACGATTAAGCCCACAGGCAGACCAAACCATACGTGTTTGTGGGCCATCAGTTTGCAATCCCCAGCCTTGGAGGATCTGGCTTTCAGAGAAGGCAGCACGTGTGAAGGGGGAGGAGGCCAGACTCCAGAAGGTGAGCTCTCCCCCGACTCCTCCCTTAGAGCCGGCTAGGCTGGGACGCACCACACTTACTCAGCTCTGAGATGCTCCCCACACAGGTGGCCAGGAGGGACTGCTCCAGGGTCCGGAGCTCCAGCTGAGCATAGGCATCGGCTCGCTCGTCGTGGCCCAGGGACCCACCGTTGTAAGGACTGAAGTACGCGGGGAGGGAGAGGACACCTGTGGGGAAACGGGCAGACAGGTGAGTTCAGGAAGGAAGCAAAGGTCCACAGGCCCAGGCCCGAAGCTTCTGGTAGAGTGGGGGTGGGGGGTGGTCATGGGCAACGAGGATACCTCATCTCTGAAGTCTACGGAAGCCAGAGTGAGGAGTGGCCTGCTTGTGGGTGGGGTGCTTGGAGCTGCATAAGGAACCCACCTGCACGAGCTCATGGGCCACACAGGGGTTCATTCACTCCTCTGCTGCTTCATGCGCAGAGTAGAGCGTCTCCCTCGGACTCTGCAGTGACAGAGGCCCGGCCTTGCCTTCATGGACCTCAGGGGACAGGAGAGTCTACTATGTCCCCCCAAAGCGTGGGACCCCCCCCCCGAGTCCTCTCACTTCCTCATGCTGCCCCCTTTCACTCTTCCTGCCAAGACGGGGCGAGGGCCGAGCCCAGGGAGAGGGGTGCTGTCTTCCCCGCTCCAAGGAGGGGATGCGTCCCAGCCACTGGCCAAGTCCAATTAGTGTTTTTCATTAGCACTCCAGCACCAGAGGGACAGGGCTGTCAGAATCAATCCTGGAGGGTGACAGCCTGTAAATTTCTCCAACTCAATGTGTGGCTTCTTAGAAAGCACCAGAAAAGCAAAATCAGCCCGGCTCAAAATTACATGTTGGTTCTTAAGAGCACGCGGCCACAGATTCCCAGCCTTCAGAAACTGCCATTTCTTCCATCAACGCATCTTCGTCCAACACCCTGCCTGCCCCCCCTCCCCAACACACACCCCTCCGAACTTTTTTTTTTTTTTAAAGAAAAATACCCACAGGAATTTAATCAGTCACTTTTGGGAATATCTCTTAAAAAAATTCCTTGAGATGGCTGGAGAGCCCCTGGGATGTGGCCAAATCTGGGTCAGCCGTCCCCGTCCTGCAGAAATACAGCGAGGATGGTGACAGCCAGAGGTGGTGAAGCAGAAGGGTGAGGACAGGGCCCTGGGGCTGGCACGTTCGGGCTCCTGCTTCTGGCTCTGCCACTTACCCAGTGGGGTGATCTGGGGTCGGGGTGCTCACGCGTCAGCCAAGGGAAAGGAAAGAGCCTCGCCCTCAGTGTAGCTGCGGGGATCAACCGAGCTAGGGGATGGCGATGCCTGCACCGGGGTGTCCTCAGAAGGGGGCCCTGCTGGGAGGTTGCTATTACTTCTGCTATGTGCTGGGAATGTAGGCTTCATTCACACCACCGACTTATTCTTTCTACGAGTAGGCTCCGCGGCCTCTAACTTAGATATTGGGGGACGGATGTGCAGAGAGTTTGAATGCTTTGTTCAACGTGGTGACAGAGCCAGGGTCTGACTCCGGATCCGACGGGCTCTCCAACGCGTGCACCTTGCCCCTTGTAGGGCCTACGTCCAACGGGCACCCCACCAAGGCTCACCTCTGGCTGCCTGGCTGGGGGCCCGTGTGAGCCCACGCTGCTGTGTTACGGCTGCCCGGGGCACCCAAGGAGCTCCCCCTGCTGTGGCCTGTGTTTCTCTTCCACGGCAGTCTTCCTCCTGCCCAGCCCCTGGCGGTGTTCTCCGACCGTTCTGCAGGTTCAGCTGACCATCAGCCCTGCCCCGGCCTCCCTGCCTTCCTCTGTGTTGCCCCGCTGACCCCTGAATCCCCCCACCGTCCTGCATGGCGGGGGGGGGGGCCCTCCCATCACATCTGGTGCTGACACAGCGAGGCAGGGCATCAAAGCACTTCCTCAGAGCACTGTTTCCAGTGGGAGAAGGAGGAGGGCATGGCTGGGTTCCCCCTGCCCCCCCAGGCCTGCTCCCCAAAGCAGAAACTCTCCCCGCCGGCTGAGTACCCACACCATTAGGAAGAGCTGGCTCTGAGCATTAAAACAAGTGAAACAAAAGAGAATCCGCTCCCCTCCAACTCACTCTCTCTCTCTCTCTCTCTCTCTCTCTCTCTCTCTCTCTCTCCAAGCTCCAACCTAGAGACAGCTCCAACATTTGGGAGAGTTTCCACACATCCACGGGGCCCGGGCAGGCTCTGCTCCCCCTCCCTTCTTCATTATTAATCTACAGAAACAACACCGGGGACATGTGGATCAAATTTACAGCGCTTAGGGCAAGGGAATAGGAAATTCAGCTGATTTGTCAAAGGATTCCCAGAGAGAAATATTATGTCAATGGATCCAGTAACAGGAGCTGGCAGGTCCATTAATAATAGTTCCCATTTTCCTAGTCATCACCCACCATAGGGGCCTTCACTTAATATTGTGGCAAAAGTAATTATGAACCGATTATTAATAACAACAGTCGATGGCATCACAGCTTTTGCATAGTACACCTTCCGCTTTTAAGAGACGTTCAGCATGGAGCAACGTGTTCTTCCGGCGGGAGGAGCAGGGAGGAGCAGGGCGCTCGGTGTCCTAGCAGCCACATCTGGCTTCCACGGGGGGCTTCCTGTGTGCCAGGCATGGGGATAATGGTGTACGCATCGTCACGTTTAGCCCCCACCTCCATGCAGGATGTACCCTCTGCACCCATCTCACAGATGAGGAAACCGAGGCCCCCAGAAGACTCGCCCAAGGTCACTGAGGGGCAGACAGTAAATTGAGGCCAGAATTTCAATCTCTCGGGTTCCAAGCCGTTGAAATGAAATGACACCCTGCCCGCGGCCACCTTGTCCTTTCAACAGCATCCCCCCCACCCCCGGCGATTTCGGAGAAGAGGGGTTCCAAACTGTGTGGGCCTGGGATTTGACAGGAAGAAAGAGAATCTAATACCCAGAAATGGGACTTTCCTTTTAATGGGTCCCCAGGCACTTCTTGCCAGGGGTCCCTGGAGGCCTCCTGGGGAAGTCTGCAGATGGAGGCTGTCCTCTTACTCCCTGGGATCTTTCCAGAACGCAGCTGCCCCGACGAGAGCCTTTTTAATGTGAATCTGAAATTCATATAAGCCTGTTCCTCAGCAGCTCTCACTGGAGATGGAAAATCTTTACGTCCTCTCAACACTTTAGAGCCTTTGCCCCCCACACATTCCCTGCTTTATGATAGGGGCCGCCCAGGGCAAGGCCATTCTGGGAAAAGGGATTTAAAACACACACACACACGAAAAGAAAGAGCAGCTCTCTTTTTTTTTTTCATTTTTGTAAAATCCTTAGGAAAAGTTGTTTCTTTCAGTCCTGATGGAAAAGCCAGCATGCCCAAATGTTTCCCCCAATGACTTAATAAGGACATCCCTGATCACTCTGCTGAACTCCACAGAAGTGATGGAAAACCCTCTCACATCCCTGGGTTGTCCCCGATGGGCCGCGGGGTCGGCAGTGGTAGGAAGCAGTAAGTCTGATCCAGGTCCCCCCTGCTCACCCTCTTCTATAAAGCAAGAATCGGGCAGCCTGGGTGGCTCAGCGGTTTAGTGCCTCCTTCAGCCCAGGGCGTGACCGGGGTCCTGGGATCGAGTCCCGCATCGGGCTCCCTGCATGGAGCCTGCTTCTCCCTCTGCCTGTGTCTCTGCCTCTCTCTGTGTGTCTCATGAATAAATAAATAAAATATTTATAATAAAATAAAATAAAGTGAGCATTTCTGTTAGACGACACCTCCCCTGAGTGGCTCTCGTGCCTGTCCGGCCTCCGCAGTCCTCAGTCTACACAGACCCATCACCTTCCCTCACTTTGTGCAGTCTGGTTGCCCAGCTCCCGAACCTCAGAGCTCATTACATCACTCCCCAAAGCCCGGGCAGCCTCCTCCCCCGGCCTCCCGAGCCCAGGGCCACATCCGCCCCTCTGCATAAGGACAGCCCGAGAGAGTTGCCCTGATGGAGCCTCCCTCCTCCACCTGCAACCCCCTATCAGCCATAAGCCTAGCTGCTCTGACTGACCCTGGTGCAGGCCACCACCTTCCCCTCAGCAGACACAGCGCCAGGGCTCCTCCCCGTGCCCTCTGACCCGCCTTGCCCACCCTTGCCGCCCCTCTCTGGTGGGTGCTCAGACGTGGCCTTGGACTCTTCAGTGACTGCCCACCGCCCCTGCAGCGAGGTTTGGTGACCCCCTTCTCACAGGTCACCAGAGATCATTTTCTTTCTCTGAAAATGAGGGACAAAAATAATTCTACCGGCGAGTGGGGGCGATCCCCAGCACCTCCCGGGAACGGGCAGGGTCTCTCCAGGCTGTTCTGTGAGTTTGGTCACTTGGCTCTTTTCCAGTTTGGAAAAGGAACACATTTTCTTCCCAAGAGACTGGCCACTGGTGCCCAGAGACAGGGCGCCAGTGAGTCAGGTGGGGAACCCAGGGAGCAAGGGGTGGGGGGGGCCGGGCACCCCGTCTTGTGCTCTACGGTTGCCAACCCGGCGTCAACCTGGTTTCAGCCTGCAGGGGTGCCCGCGCCCCCAAGCAAGCACCCAGCCAGACGCAGATGGACGGCACACGGCTGACAACCCAGACTCCAGCGCGAAGGCTTCTCAGAAGCGGGGCCTAGGCCGAAGGCCAAATCCAACGGGGAGAGTTCACTCTCTCCTCTGTGGAACACTGGGGCAGAGTCGGTGGTTTCTCGAGTCTTCTCTGGCCTCTCTGTTGGGCTCTAGCCCCGCGGGGCCGCGCTCAAAACCTTTCCCTGCTTTCCATTCCACTTCTCACGTCTAAGCGCCAACGGCGGGCACAAGCAGACCCTGTTGTTCCAATTTCCTACGGTTTAATCTCCCCCACAGCTATAGTACCCCTCCCCGGCACGCACGCATGCACGCACAATTTTAAATATAAAGAAGACGTCCTTTTTTTTTTGGTGAAAACTGGATTTACGGTCCAGCTTTTCTGACCAGTCATCAAAAAACCATCGAGACTGTAATATAACTGTCCCCCCAACTTAAGCTATTATCAGCTCTCTCCCCAGGCTCGTAAATGGTCTTTCCAGGGCACCGTGACTATGGTGGGCCCAGCCGCCCGTGCAAGCCTGCGTGTCCAGCACCCTCCCCGGCCCCGGGCCCACGACCCACCCCCCCACCAGGCTCACTAGCAACCCCCTCAGGGAAGCTCATCT